CCTCTCGTAGGCGAGATGAAAGCATTGATTACACGGTCAAAAAGATGTTACATTCGATACTGTGTTTCTCTGCCGTGTTGCTATCGTGACGTGTCCAAGTAACACGCATTCGTGCGTATTTACGTGAGGATGCTACTACTACGCAATCGTATGAACGAAATTCGATTACTATTTACAATCGAGACATTTCACGGAAGACGAATTACTTTTTTAATTTATCGACATTTTTTCCTATTATTATATTCCCTTTGTTTTTTATTTTTATATATTGATATTGATTGGAAAACGTTCATAACGCGGTATTAATTTGTTTCGTTCCTTTTTTTTTTCTTTTTAATTAGAGAATGAAATAAATATTATTAAAAATTTGTTAATAAATTATATTCCTTTTTAATCAGTTACTCTATTCTTATTAAAGTAATTTATGCTAAGTATAATGTAAATGAAATAAATAACGTACGCGTATATGAATATTTTTTTTAGTATATAGATTATCGAGCTGGTTGGTGATTTTAATTCTATATAAATTTCAATATTTTAAAATTATACATCTATTTGTTTGAATCGTATTTGTATTAATTCATGATAAATATATTCTCAAATAAATTACCAATATATTCGTAGATATATTTTGTTAAGCATTATTAATTAAATATTAGAGCTACGCTTCAATTTACTTGATTATTAAACAATTTTTGTATTAATTGTAATTTTGTATTAATTTAGTAAGTGTAAACCATAAAACATCCCGTTTACAAAAGTATTCAAGTATAAAAGGTAATTACAAAAAATATTGAAATAATAAATGACAGGTAATAAGTATAAGTCATACCGAGATGATCCTATTTATTTAGACGATTAGATGATGATAATAATGATGACTTTATTTTTTCTAAACGATACAAAAATATTCCTATAATGAAAATAATTGGTCTAATGATACGTTATTCCGTCGCACTTACTTAGCAAAGGAGTCATTTATTACTTTCCCCGAGCGATCGTATGCACCTTGGTATTTATACGGTATATCACATAATCGAGGAAAACGAGACGGTATCGTCATTAGCTCATGTTGCAATTCGTGTAGCGTGGTAAACGCAACAACGCCATATAAGCGATCGATCATCGACATTGTTCCGTCCTGGCTTTCATAACAATCCGCGGAATTATCTGAACATGCTGATAATCGTGCTAGGTACTTCATCAATTATTCCTCCAGTAGATGCGTGTGCAATTAAGGTGGCTTTACGACGAACAATGATCTTTCGATAAAATAGAAATAGGAATAGGAAAATAGTTAATTAACAATAATGATTATATAAACCATTGTTATACTATTAGTAATTATATTAGGGATCAAAAAATAATGAAAAAAAGAAAAAAATGAATATCAGTAAAATTACAATGAAAAATAAATAAAGATAATAGTAGAAAAATCTGTGAAAACGAATTTGAAAATAATAGGAAATAAAGAGAGATAATAGAGAGGGGAGGGGAGGATTATAATCATTAGGTATAAAACAATCGAATGGTCGTGAATTTAATTGTGATAAATAAATTCTCATAAAATTCATTGCAGAGGATGAATAGTAGTTTGTCTGTTTAAAATGCTCGATTTCTCTCTCTCTCAGTCAGTTTTTACGCTTGCTGAAATAGCAACCACTGAATCGTACAAGGATCGTTATGACATGCGTGTTGGCCGAATGAGTGCTTTTTATTTTTCCACCGAATGTTAAAAGCCAACTGCAGGAATGTACGAAGGTTGGTTGGTTGGTTAGTTGGTTAGTTGGTTGGTTAATACTACATTCTCCAGAGAAACTTTTTCCCTGTTTAACGTAAAATTGGTCCCAGTCGTCGCGTTTCGTGCTTCTTTTAAAACCGTCGACAACTACAGAAAGAAAAAGCAGCTCCTTGTTGGGCTATTTGAAATTTCTTTTTCACTTCTTTTATTTTTATTTTTATTCTCTCTCTCTCTCTCTCTCTCTCTCTCTCTCTCTCTCTTTTTCTCTAACTCAAAGGGAACAAAATAAAATAGAGGATAGAACAACAACAACATTGGTACAATTACTGTAAAGGATTGGTAAAAAGATTAGTAAAATAGTCGAGAATACGGTTAAAACGTGAATCGCTATTTTAGTTTTATTATTCTTTTTGTTTTTATTTTTTCTTTTTTTTCGGTCATTCCTTTTTCTTCACACACATCTTATCTTTATACTTAATAAGACGTAAGAGAAACGATGTAAAACTTTAAATGGAGGAGAGATGGCTAGGGTAAGTTCAACGTCGCCCAATGTAATTTCCATCGCAATTTACTTTTGAAACGTGTTTTTTTTTCTTTTTTTTTTTTTAAGTAGAAAATCGGTAGAGAGAAGGTGCGTGTACTTATACTCACTCATTCCTCTGAGCGCGTAATTCCTAGCCCAGGAAATAACCGTCGCTGAAATGAAACTCGTAATTTATCGGAGGATATGCAAATGTCCTCGTTTTTAACTCTCGTCTTGGCTTACCAAGTACAAGTATGTTCTCGACTAAGAAATATGATTTTGCATTGGTTAAACCCGATGAATATAAGCATATATGTATGTATATACGTCCTTTTAAAAAATGTATATTTTAAATTGAATGTTCTTTTAATAAATTCTTTAATGAACTTGTATCGCGTATATTCAAATGAAATTTCACGCATTAACCCTTCATAAGAAAATTTTTTTCTCATTGCTGTACAAGTAACAAAATTTATTTGATAAAAATTTCGCGAACGTTATATAATTTCATGTAATTATATTGCACCGATAATGAGCACAACTTAATAGATATTAATAAAATATTAAACAAAATGAAATATTTGATAAAGTATCGACTTTATGAGTAGACGACTTCAAAATTATAATATAACGTTAATGTAATATAAAGGGTTGATGAGAAATTTGATGTAGTAGATAAGATCAAAAGATTTTTCCGCGATAAAGCGAAAGAAGAGATCTCTTAAGCTCGCCGTTCTATTCTCTTATACGAAATCGTCTGTTTGTTCTCCAATGTACCCAAAATTTGTTTCTCATTACTGCAAAGTAATCACCGAGATGTAATTAAGGAGAAATATGTTAGCGCGCAGAACGCGAAGCAACCGTTCGGTGAAAAGAGAAACACGTAATACTACATACACGTACACATACAAAGTCATGTATATATATGTAAATACATTTATATATATGTATAAATACATACGTATAACGAGTACGCGTTCGGCGTTTTACGTAATCTGATCTCAATAATTAATCGTCCTAAGTTAATTGCTATTGAGAATATTCCAAGCGTACTACCCTCATTTCTAACGCAAAATACTTTGTAGTACTTTGTATACAAATTGAAAGTACTTACAATAAAGCAAAAAAAAAAAAGAAAAAAAAACAACGGCATCTCTTCATTATCACGATTCTCACGTATTATTTCTTATTTTTACTTTATCTCACATAAGCAATACTTTTCTCTTATTTGTCTTAATCTATGGCAAACAAAATGTGATATAACGATAAATATAACTGATACAACATTTTTTATATTACAAGATCAAATAAAAAAGACATTTTGGATCAAATTATCAAAAAGACTAAAAAAAAAGTAAAGTTACGTTTTAAACAAAAGTCTCAATTATCCTTCGAATAAATTTCAAAGATCATTTTAAATGTTACAAACGTAATACCATCGAACAGAATAAGGATAATACATCGATTATAATACGTTTAATCGAATTTCCTTGTACGAAGGAACAAAATGAATTCGTATATGGCTTTGTTATTCGAGAAAGAGAAAAAGATAGTGTGAGAAAGTAAAAGAATAAGAGAAATAGAGAAGAAAGGAAATGGCAAGAGGAAAAAAAAAAGAAAAAAATAGAAAAAGTATCTTGCACAAAAAGAGAAGACAGAGACCAATGGAATGGGTATTAAAACGCGTTTCTCTCTAAAAGAGAGAAAATCCATTACCTTCGTACTTCACGATCTGCATTTTCCGGCTCATAAGATATAGTAGCACCATGTACATCAAACTTATGTGTATTTTCGCGTACATATATATATATATATACGTGTGACACGTATGAGTTCCAAGTTCAATTAATTTCAGTTTAAAGCTTCCCTAAGCCAGAGAAATGCGAGTAAGCTTCCTATAATTTCGTCGTTAATCGTTTGCTTGTATTCAATTTCATCGTTGGGGAATTGGCTTTAACATCTCAAACGCGTCTATAAAATTTTATTATAAATTTATGCAACTATACTCTGTCAGTTTTTCATCTATTTTTTTTTTCTTTTTAATCTGGATTATAAAGTATATAAATTGTAAGAGATAAATAATAAAAAAGAAAACACAATATATTGAAATCCTTAGATTCCTATTAATTATAAAACAATTTTAAATGAATAATTGTGTTGACTTGAAGTCTTATACTTTCATAATAAAGACGATTCAAAAATAATCCGCGTAAAATTCTTAATCAAAGTATCTACTAAGCAAGTGCTGCCTTACTACTAACGTTTCGTCAAACTATTAACATTTTTACCGACCGTATACAAAGACGGTAGTTGATAAAATCATATTTATGATAAGACAGAAATTGATATTTGCACACAAGGTAGCAATCATTCGATCAAAACTCTCATGGTATACTGAAACAAATCACATAAATAAAAGTATAGAAATATAGATGCTTACAAGAATACTTTCCGTGTAAAAGAATCATCTTAGTTAGTACCTGAACCACCAGTGGGCGATAGCAGGTACTTAACGCGATGACGGTACAATACCATCAAAGAATACGGAATTCTTTAATAATATTTGATAGTATATGATATATGATATCATTTATAATAATTCGAATTTAAAATAATTATATGTAATTTTTAGTGTACTAATATAAACTTATATTATATTTGTATATTATAAATCAGTATATATCATCTCTTTCTTTCGGATATTCGTATTAACATACAATTAAAAAAGTATTTAAAAACATAGCTGTATTAAATATTTTAATAAAATAAGAAATATCGTACATTGTAGGGAACAAGGATAAAATTATTCGCTAAATGTTTCGTTTTTGTGTTTTGTGTCATGTTCCATTGACTTCACATTTATTATAACAAATATTTATAAATCTATATAATTCGTGTTTATATAATTTTATCTAAAACATAAATAAAATAAAAATATTAAAAATTTTAAAAAGCAAATATAGGATCGAAAAAATTTAACTGCTTACTAAGTAACAACGATAGTATTTTTTCTATTCATTAAATAGGAATTTCTTCAAAATCAGGATGACTAGAAATTCGACGATTTATTGGATTGGCCATTCGTTGGAGCACATAATCGGGTATACCTTTCTCTTCTAAATTTTTCGTACCAGGTAAAGCCACCCGTATTTGTGCCCTTTCTTCTAAATTTTCATTGCCAGGTAAACTAACAGGTTCAACAACGTAGAGTCGAGAAAGGGGTAAAGATTTCTCATTTAAATTCGCCGAACCGGGAAGACGAGCTTCGACAATTTCGGTGTCATCGACCGCGTCATTGCCCAACGTACGGAATTCGTGTTCCCTATGCGGTTTGTACGGGATGGCGAGCGTTCCATAAACGCCGAGGAATAATAAAATGATCTGTGAATGATAAAAGAAAATAATCAAATACACATCAAACAAAAAAAAAAGACAAGAAATATATAAATAACGATTACGTTGAAGCGAGTAAGAGAGAAAAAAATATAGGAGGAAAAAAAACGTATAGTATGTTTGTCTCTCTGACCTGTTTTCTCGTCTTTCATCAAATGAAATAATACGTAGATACATACTAAATGTTTATTGAAAAACGTTAACTTGACAGAAATCTAGAAAGTTTGAAATAACTCAAATCGCGTCGCACCCACGCCGACTATTACAATATATAAGTAAATTCTCTTCCATTCCACTTGACCCAAATAGATCCCTTGCCGAATAAAACAACGACCAACCGACACTTTCTTACGAATTCTAACACCGCGACATTTTTCTTTTTAAACTATCACCGAAATAAATATTCATAATAATCATTTTAATCCAACCACGCGCGATAGGACACTTACGAACATTTAAAACGTACTTTATAAAATCTGTAATTTATCTTCTTTTCGAACTTGACCCTGTTAAATCAAAAAGATAAAATAACAATGCGACGAATTAATCTTTCACTAAACAAAACAAAATATAAAAAAAGAACCAACATATAACCGAATATAACATTGAACTCAAATATCTTTTCCAATTTATTTTCAAAATAAAATTTCAATTTTTAATTTCTTTTCTTTTTCACTTATAATCGAAAAATAAAGAAAGAAAGAAAGAAAAAAAAACAAACAAACAAACGCGACGCACAGATTTTATACACTTGTTACTGTTAATCGAAATCCTTTCCTTTGTTCTTTTTTTCTTTTTCTTTAAATCCAATCTCACCATCGACTTCGATCAAAATCCAGGATTCGAGATTTTCTTACCTCGATCATGTTCGTTCGAAGCTTCGAGTCCAACTATCCTCCGTGGATAGCACGATGACACTTTTATATGGGTCTATACGTATACAAATATATACAAGCACCAACACTGGTCTTACAACATGATCAACGTTTTATTTTGATGAGTCAAGCGGTCTCTCCCCATTTCCCTCCTTCTCCCTACTCTGTTCCATCTCAACCACCTCCACCTCCTCCCCCAACTTTCAAATTTATTCTCTCCAAAATCGTTTTTCTTACGACTTATCGAACATAATTGGCTACCACTTTCATTAACGTACCTCTAATTAACTAAGTTCTCTCTCACTGTGTTATCATTTTTCTTTTCTTCTTCTTATTCTTTAGCTGCAAAATTTTACGTCTACATCAAAGCATTGAATATTAACAAGCTAAAGACGATAGAAAAAGAAAAGTATAATCTATTCGTTGGTATTTTAATTGAATCGATAATGAAAATGAAAGAAGAAGAGATTAATTAAATTCAATCTCTATATCTAATCTCTATCTAATAACTATGTAATATATTTAAGAGAAATTAAGTATATTTATCGTCAATAGCAACATATGTGTGTTATATTTACAAACATTGTCAAATGTACTGGTAAAGTTCTCGAGAAATAGCACATATGTGTGTATGTGTTTGTGTTTTCATGTTTAGCAGAACTACATAGCAGATCCTTTGTTTTGTTTCTTATAATATTTTTTATATATTATTTTGTCTTAAGAATCAATAAGAACGTTCGATTATCGTCTATTTCCAACAGTTATCGATAGTCAACGAATATCAAAAGACGTACGTACGAGACGAAATTACGCTTACTTTGGTAAAACGTTGATCGTTATTTTGTTAAAACGTGTTAATTTGTTAAAATATTTATTTAAATTAATCTTATTGCAAATTGGCAAATTCGTGCATTTTTTTTTCTTCACTTTTCTTTTCTTTTTTTACTATTATTATCATCCTATTGTTTATTAACCTACAATCGAGTGCTTATTAACAAAGTCTTTCATGCTGCATTACGTACAGGTGTATGCATTTTAAGGTGTTACGAGACGAGTCAAGGTTATTGAGACTGAAGCATACCAAATGTAAGTACGATATTTTAACACATTGATAAATGTGCTCAAGTGACTTTCCAATTGAATACAATACGATACATCGTTAACTATAGTTAAATTTTAATTTATAGTCCTCACGTGCTAAGCTTTTTAGTGATCACTTTAACCCTTTCGCTGTGATACGCTAATAATAAAATGTTAAACTTTTTGAAAGGTAGGCATCACTAACGAAAATTATTTAAATTCGAGAATATTTTTGTTGTCTCATAACTTTCAAATTGAATTTAATTTTTAAATTCGTGTGTTCTTTCAAAATAACATAATTCGTAATAATTTATATTTTTTTTAAATATATATTTGAGACATTCGATGTTGCTAATTACATGGATTAGCATACAATTATTTCACCTAAATGAAAATTATTTGAACACGTGCACATACGTAAACCATTTTTTATTTTGATACTCAAATTTGCATCCTTAAAAGGTAAAAGTGATAACTAAAAATGCTGCTGCTGCTTGTTGTTTTTGATTAATGTTATAACCAAAAATAGAAATTGTAAAAGATAGTAATAAAGTTTCGAGACAAAAGTTAATTAAAATTGGGTTGCTATATTACTTGAAAAAATATTTATGTGAACTTTTGTTCTATAATAAAAAGAAAGTTATAAACAAAAATAGTAATTCGAGTTTGTAGATTGGAAAGATGGTCCCTGGATAGATTAAAATTGGTATCGTATCTTCTACACTAGTTCGTTCATCAAACCGATAGAGAATACTAAAATATTTTTCTATTTTCAACTAGTCGAGACTAAATATAAAATCAGTCAAGTCCGAATTAGCAGCATGATATCGATCAACGTATCGTTGAGGTCTTCGTTTACGGTACGTCGACCAATTATTGGTCTTATTTCGTGACTAATATAAAAAAAAAAAAATAAAAAAAAATACTTATACATATGAATCTCTAAATATATTTTTATAAAATTTTAAGAACTTGTTAAATTTCTTTTTCATTTATTATTATCTTCAATCTAATTTATTTTCTATATAATTATTAACCAATATAATGAATTAGATTAAAAGTTTCTCTTCATATTTTTCTAATAAATTAATTAAAAATCCCATAAATCTGATAATATTTAAATTGAGTTTGCCAATTTACTTACATGCATTTAAAAACTGTCCACATCAATGGAATAATTTTCTCTCGAAAACAGCCTAATCATCATTCTCAATGACGTTGTAGTGAAATCTGCGTAATAATTCGATCAAAATTCTAATACCAACATTAAATACAAACATACACACATACACACACACACAGTTATAGCAACGTTGAAAATCGATCGTTTCCAATGAAATAAATATTATTTCACGAAAAGAAATAAATTTAATGGATCGGGTGGGGCATTGGATGGGCAAAGTTAGGGTTGTCTATTTGTCGAAAGTCAGACCGATGACGTTCGAAAGGTTTATTGAACGGATAGGTTCGGATTTTATTCGCGTCATCGCGTGCCTATGAAATTATCCTTCCCTCTCGAAATTCAATATAAAATATATGGGGGTTGAGTTAAGAAAAGCGAAAGTTCATGTTAACATTTGTGCACGAAAAGATCCCTTGAGGGTAAGAGAAAACAACTTTGTTCTGTCGATCTTTTCGATGTTAGGGAAGAATGGAATAAGATGACGTCACTCTCGTTGATATATGGTATCGTCGTATCGAAAGGATGACGTCACCCAACCCTATTTTTTTTTCCACCTTCTTTTTTTCCAACATTTTTCCATTTCGATGCCTATAGACAGCGGCGCCTATGCAAATTATCGACCTACCCTCGGCATTGAACGAATCTCTAGTAGACATCAATGACGTCATTATTATATCCTTCATAAGGTATATAATGCACATGTATATGCATAGTGCATTTGTGCATATGTACATACCGTCCTCGTCCTTCTATTCACGCTAGTTGGTTACATCACATACATAGTAGAGCCTGAAGGAAGAAACGTCAATATATTTCATTGTAATCTTCTATGTTCGTTTCATGCAAGCGTAAAGATAAAGAACACAAGTGAGAAAAATAAAAGGAAAAAGAGAGAGAGAGAGAGAGAGAAAGAAAATAACAAACAGAAAACATTGGATGTGTAGGCGCGATGAACTTGGCAATAGAACGACGCAAGTAAAGTATTCTTTTCTCAAGGATAAATTCATTTCTAATAAAATTAATCAATAAAAAAATATGACGATTAAAAGTGTTTGTAATTAATTTTTCTATTTCTTTTTTTTTTTTTTACTTAATTTAATTATTATGTAAGAGATGAGACAGTGTGTTCGCGCGATCATAGATTGTATAAATAAACGTATAAAATACATAGGAGAAATAATTTATGCAAAGTATTACAAACGAATGAAATTATTTAACTAGAGGTAATTGAGAAAATAAATGGAAAAATGAATAATTCACTTTTGATCGATCCGCGACCGCGTTCGTGTTGAACCTTCCCAAATTGTATTTGCCGAAAGTGCAAATATCAGGGATTCGCTTTAATCTCATTCTAGGATCGTTATTTAAACGATTATTTCTGGAAATACATATGTATCTATCCATCTGGCGTGAAAGAAGGAACGATTTTAGATCGGGCAAAAGCACATCACATCGTTAGGCGAACTTGCCGAACAGGTTCCACGTTTATTAATAGAAACATAGTTCATTCTATATGGTTTATGAACTTGTTCTAACTGAGAGAACAAGTCGATGTACCATCGTCACCACCATCTCTTCCTCCCCCTTTCTTTTCTCTTTCTTTCTTTATGATCTCTATGGGATATCAAATAATATTACGTACAAGGTGTTTCATTTTGATTATACTTAATACATTAAATATCACGGTGATCATCGGATCATACGATTACTTTTATTTATAATAATATTTCGATATAATATTTAACGAATAATAACAAATTCGTGTCGATGCCATTAAAAAAAAAAAAAAGGCCATATAAAAATTAACGTTCCATTCAACTTGATTTATACGAATAAAAAAAATATTACACAAAGATAGGATCATAAAGGATTTTTATTACGAAGTTATAAAAACAGAGATATCCTAAAATTAGAAATATAAGTGATTTTTTTTGTTCTTTTTTTTTTCTTTGATTCTTCGTCGTTAAAACGTTGGTAATATTTAACTGTTCGAAATAAATTGTGTTTATTATTAACGGTCATTGTAACCGAGTTTTGTTTTTTCTTTTTTTATACGGAAAAATCTAGTTATTTATAATTTTTTTTAAGATCTTTTCTTTTCTTTTTGTACGAAATTGATAATAAAATATTTCATGAGTTTATATTAGTATTATTTCTTTTTTATTATTATTGAATATTATACAGTTTAGTGTGAAAATAATACACCACATGGTATATAGATACTTAACGTGTTTGTAAACGTATGTTCATGTATAGGTAGGTATACACTGTACTACATAGTTTGCAGCAAGCGACACAGTGACTCTCTCGATAAACCCCTCGGCAGGTTGCCAACGAGTCAGTCCGATTGTCAAAGCAGTTTCTTTGTTGACCATCTTTTAACTCTCATGTTAGGCATCCATCTTTTTCATACTCTCTCTCTTTCTCACTTTTTCGCACAAACCCACGTGCCATACACCGACCCGTTCAACCGCGCCGATTTCAAATCTTTCAAAGAGACTTCCCCAACTCTCAGGAAGAAAAATAAAAAAAAATAAAAAAATAAAAAGAAATTGTCGTATAAATAAATCGAACGAATAGCATTTTTCCCAAGTTTCTTCCGGGCTGTTATTAAATTTAGAAAATATTTCGCAACTTTTGACGTCATACACATTTTTGTTAACAAAAAAGAAAAAAAAAAGGAAAAATAAAATAAGACGAATAATATTTTATTTCCCGTCGATCATAATAATATGAACGAATAATATATTGGAAAGATTTGTGCTTTACTCTTTTTCAATTTTCTATTTTCAGTTTTTTTCCGAGATCATT